TGTTTTTTACTAGCTATCGAATTATTTGAATGAATTGCAACTATCGAATGTTTCGATAGTATTCATTCGATAGTTCCCACTACTACTAAATAGTATAAATAATGTACGTAATTCGTCTTCTACATATTGGTTGAGCTTGCATTAGAACTACAATAACTATTTTTATATTTTTTTAAAGCTAATGCCTTAATTAAGGTTTCCATACACTTTTTGTTACTAAAGATTGCTACACACAGATATGTCCTAGTCCTCTTAGTTTCTGAAATACAGGGCGATCTTGAAATTTTTTTGTCTCTCCCCATATTTTGGTTACCCATCGAAAAAATGAAAACTTATCGAAAAAATGAAAACTGGGTTCAGTAGAGTTCTTCGCGTAGAACCTAGTGGCGTAACTAGTTTTTCACTGAGAGCTGTAATTTTCGAGAAATGACTAAAAATTATAAAAAGTACTAGTAATTTTTTCGAAGTACACCTACGGGCGGTGTACTTTGGTACAAATATCGTATTGTATTATTACAAATAACCAGACCCGCTACAGTAAATACCTAATATAGTTTTGGTTTCTGGACAGTTGTTGTAGGTATTTGTAATAATTCTATAATTAAGGTTTCCATACACTTTTTGTTACAAAAGATTGCTACACACACATTTGTCCTAGTCCTCTTAGTTTCTGAAATACAGGGCAATCTAGAAATTTTTTTGTCTCTCCCCATATTTTGGTTACCCATCGAAAAAATGAAAACTTATCGAAAAAATGAAAACTGGGTTCAGTAGAGTTCTTCGCGTAGAACCCAGTGGCGTAACTAGTTTTTCGCTGAGAGCTGTCATTTTCGAGAAATGACTAAAAATTATAAAAAGTACTAGTAATTTTTTCGAAGTACACCTACGGGCGGTGTACTTTGGTACAAATATCGTATTGTATTATTACAAATAACCAGACCCGCTACAGTAAATACCTAATATAGTTTTGGTTTCTGGACAGTTGTTGTAGGTATGTGTAATAATTCTATTAAGGAAGGTTGAAAAATTTATATTTTTTATTTATTAATGTCTCTGAAACCCAGTGGCGGCTCGTCAGGGTAGGCAAGGTAGGCGGCGCCTACCCTAAAATTTTGGCAGAATTTAAGCGGTTTATTACATTACATTATTTATTATTAATGTTGCCAATACATAAGAATACTGTTAATACACGGAAGTGTGTTGTAATAATTAATATTGTTTTAATATTTGTGGTTTTGTATATTAAAATATTCACCACCCCTGGTGTACGCTGACTGAATATTTGCGAAACCTCAAAAATGTTCATTTTTCAATTCTCCATCTAACAAAGAAAGAGATACAGGGAAAAAGAAAAGTTAAAAAACTTAAAAAAAAGAAGAAAAACTATTTTATATTTTAAAAAGTTTGGCACAGATATTTAATTAATATCTTTGAAACTATCAAAACATAATGAATTAGGATTCTAGGATTTCTTAGGATTATGTAAAGTGATCAAAAAAAAGCGAAAAATTCAATAATATACAGGGTGTTCCATTTTGTGTTTTCGATAAGTTATAAGATAACCGAGATAAGGGGTCGAAAAATGCAACATTTTCAAATTCGCCCTGTATTTCAGAAACCAAGAAGGTTAGGGCAAATCTGTGCGTAGCATCTATAGTTTCATAATACAGTAATACAGTAATGTATAAACCGCATCTTTGTATCTCTACCCATAAAGGAAAAACCCCATAAAATACACGAAAATGGGACACCATGTACACAAAGAAAGAAGGAACTAATCTGGTATGAAAGCAATGTTTTGTGGAAGTCTATTAAAAAAAATCAAACGTTTTATTGTAGATTATACTTCATAAGAAAAATTAATTTGCAAGTAAAACACCGTATGGTTCCAATATTTACTTCTTTAAAACTGGGACACCCCGTATAACTTTTAGTGTATTTATGCAATAATTAAAGCTACAACTATTTGATACTCTTGTAATTATAGACCGTTTTAATGCTACTTCAATCTCGTTATAAACAAAAAATATGTCGTTTTCGCCAATGCACTGGTTCGACCTGTTTAGATGCCGACATTCCAACGGAAAAAACATGCGAAAAAATTAAAACAGAGCTGTTAAGTAACGGGAACGCCCTGGTAAAACACGTCGACGAAATTTGTTTTATTTATATCAACAAGTAAAACGGTTACGTTTGGTGTAAGAAACACATAGAGGAGTCAACAACCCTACAATGCTGTTTAATAGAGAATTTTATACAGGGTGTTTCTTAATGATATGCTATTAAATAAAGGGGTGACTTATGTCCTAAACATTTTAACTCTTGTCTATTACGCTGTACTGTTCGGTCGCTCTCAAGGGTCGGGTAAAGCGGGTGTGTGGCCGAAGGAAATATATATTATATTTCAGAAATCTGCCTAAGGCTTAGCCCGATCCTGTCGTCTTAAGCCACAACCAAAATCCCAAACACACTTGCTTTCATTAAGGCTTGATTAAGGTTTGCAGAGCTTCAGCATTTGCCGTAAAATAGCGAGCAATTAGTTACAAAACCATATAAATTATATATCACTGAAATCACAAAACTGCAATCTATTTCCCTATTGTAACGGAATTTTAAATTATGTTTTTATTTTCGAGAAAATTTAGTCCAAACATAAAGAATATTTTCTGGATGTTTTACCATCAGTTAAGTTGTCTAAAAATGTGCTACAATACGGATATAGTATAATCCGTATTTATTTACATTGCTACTTTTTCGGACGAGTGAAATGGGCTTTTAAAACTTGAATTTATTAAAATTTAATACTTTCTAACGAAGCACTTCTGTATAGAGGTAAATTGTGTCCAATTATTTTGTTATTTGTTGCTAAAATGTTATGAATAAAATACCTAGTAGTTCTATGGCCAAGGAACACTTGTACAACCTGTATATTAATAAAAAAATATATTTTATGTTTCTATATTATGACGTCGCAATCTTGAAAGGTTATCAAATATCATAAAATAATGTAATTAGGGAATGCTACCCCGCACCAAAATCTCAATCCCGCAAACCTGCGGGATTAAAGCAATCAATCCCGCGGATCCGCAAAATTGCGGGACTGTAAACAATAGTCATACATTTGGTCCTAAATGGTACAAAAGGCATTGTACATTTTGCATAGGCCCACAATATATTGATATAGCGTGTATCTTAAACTAGCTGTACAGAAATTTGGACCGATGTATACAGGGTGTTCAAAAAATATATTTAATATTAAATAAACTTAAATTTTATTATAATTTATCTACTTATTTTATAAATAAAAATATTATTCTCATGTTGAAGTTTTTTTTTAACTTGTGTTAGTTATCTGCTTTTAGATATACTCTATATCAATAATTTTTTGGCATATGCAGAATGTACAAAGCTTTTTGTACCATTTAGGACCATACGTATAACTAAAAATGCATATTTTTCGAAAAAAACGTCGTATTTTCCTTAAAACAAAAAAAAAATAAAAAAAAACATCAAGTTGTTTATTCTAATTTCAATACAGATTAGTCGTACTTGGTAAAAATTTCGATTTTTTAAAAATTGTAAATTTGCGGTAAAAGATTCTTGACCAAAATTTCACACTCTTATAAAACACCCTGTATACGAGAATTCGCTTAATATATTTTCGAAAACCACATAGCATCTTAATCACAATAGATGCGTCTAAAACCTGGGTGTCCAAACTGCATCCCAAAATCTTTTTTAGTTCAAGAGATATTCAACTTTAAATTTACCCTAAAATTTTGCTTGTCCCGATAATTATGTCCGGCAGTTTTTTAACGAAATTGTCCACAAGTACTAGTTAAACGCTTTTCTTCACTTACGCACATACGCCAGAAAGACATCTAACAATGTTTGTTTCACTTAATGGCCAAGCTGTAAGGGGAATCCCCCGGGTTCCGAGCGTCGACGCATCGGCCCGGAACGAAGCGGTTTGACCTTGATCGAGATCGATATAGAATCCAGTAGTAAAGTGTCGATCCCGCGGATCCCGCACGGTAAATCCCGCAACTTTGATCCCGCGGAATATCAGAGGGATCCAGCATTTGCGGGATTGCATTCCCTAAATGTAATATACTATAATAAAATACTTGCATTTTACTTTATACGAAATGCATATAAATAATTTGAATATCAAAATATTTAAACGTATTCACTATCCAAATATTAAAATAATATTAGCATGATAATAATTATTTACATTCTTTAACCATGTATATTTAGTAGATATTTAAGTAGATGAGATTGATGATATTTTGTTATCGCTCATAAACCTCGCTATAACCAATCCTTTATAACCAAAAATAATTAAATAGAAACCAAATGAGAACCAAGTTAGTTAACATGCAAAATTAATACAGGATGCACGAAAAGTATGTTTTATACAGTATGATTAAAAGGACAATGAAATGAGCCAGCTATAAATATGAAATTTTCATGTTTTGAACTTATACACGTCTTATGACATCAAATAAAAACAATGTCATATTAGACCTAGAAATATCACTTTGAGTTTCAAATCTATCACTGAAGAATCTTTAGAAGGGCAGCTGTTTTATTTGTCATACATTAGAACTACAAAAATCTAAAAATACTTGTTATGTACTTCTAAACTATTTATACTTTTAATATGATATCAACTTACACAGCACCGGCGGAGAATGCACCCAGCCAATAGTTGAAATAAAACAAAAAGTAGAGATAATAACATTTAAAAAGTAATATTTTAGCATTCGACTGGACTCAAATTCCTTTTAATCATACTGTAAGATAAAATAAAAGATCTATTTACAAAAAGTCACCTCGTCAGTAGGCATTCTACTACCAACCAGCAACTACTCGACTCTAAAGGGAAGACTCATTATGAAAAGAAAGAAAAACTCAAAAAATGAAGGAAATATTATCAAAAAAACACTACGGGCGTTGGAGGGCGGGTCTTAATCCTAGCCCACTCCCCTTCCTACCTCGATGATGAGTGGCGCCACCCATTTATTGTCCGTGATGCGCGTCACCACAGTTTCCGTGAACGTGCTTTTCGTTATCGTCTCGGTGACACGCCCGGGACCGGTGGGGGCGGGGGGTAACTCGATCGGGTCCGGTTTACGAATGGTCACGGTCGTAACCGAAGCGGCACCCCCGTTGGCCGTCGGCGGGTCGGCGGCGTCGTCTGAACTGCGAGGAGGCGGAGGAGTGGGAGGCGGCTTGGGAAGGAAGTGGGCGGGGATCATGGCTTGGAATTCCTCGTTGGTGATGGGCCGGGGCAGTACCTGATCGTCGCTTTCGATCGACGACGTGGGCGTGGCCTTCTTGTGATTGTTATTGGTCATCGTGGGCGCGGCTGCAGGCGGGGTCGGCGCTAGAGGGGGCGGCGCGGTTGTGGTGGAGCCGTTAAGGCGACGCGGGGCGGGTTTGGGCACTTCTTGGATAGGGGGCGTGGCGTTGTGGGCGATGCCGTTCGTCTTGGGTGCGTCTTTAACGGTCGATGGGGGCGTGGTTACGGGCGTTGGAGGCTTTATTAGATCGGGAGAATTGCTCTGAAAAAGAATATAATCATATTTTAATCATGTTCTAAAAATGATATGAATACATTATTTATCTCTCCAAATAATCCTATATGGGTATTTCGCCACTGCAAGAAAATCTACAAAATATAATAGTTATTTTTTGTAAACACTGCTACGTTGTTCCAACAGAGACTAATTGTCAGCAGTAGGTTACAAATGCTTAACGTTTCGGAAAGTTTATCTCTTTCCGAAGCAAAAAAAATACAAAGATTAAAGAAAAAAACTATTTAAAATATTTAAATGCAACTATTATTACTTGGATATAACCTTAGTCTAAGGATATAACTTATTCGAGAACATTTAGTTTTTTTAAAACAGATACATCTACAAAAACCGTTGACATTCTGCAGAAATGTTTAATTATTTTATTTATCGTATTGTTATTTGTAAGCCACTGGTGACAATTAGTCTACGTTGGATTAACGCAGCCAGCAGTGTTTACAAAAAATAACTATTTTATTTTGTAGATTTTCTTGCAGTGGCGAAATACCCATATAAGATTTTTTTTGGAGAGATGAATCCGCCACATAGGTATAGACATTTTTTAAATTATTTATGTTGTAATTTGTAAAAAAAAACACCTCGACTAATTAGTAGATAAATTCATTTAAATATAAATTCGTTAATGGATATTGTTCTCTATTTTTTAAACATTTAAGTGTCAAAAATATAATAATTGGCGAATAAAAACCAGGACCCAAATAATTAATAGTTTTTGTAGCTGTCAATTACAATTTTGCGATGATGGTCAACTACTACAGCAATAAAGACAATTATAGTAATTTATTTTAAAAAAGTAGGTAACAGACTGCAATAGGTTCAATAACATTAAACAAACACTGCAATGATGTGTTATTCTAAAAAACATGTACGTAGTTGAAAGAAAATCAAATAATTTCATTCCAATTACGGTGGATCCTAATGTAATTTAAATATTTACTGCTGTTTACTGTTGACAGGCGAGTATTGAGCGGCAAAGTAAATTATGTGGCGGGTTCATCTCTCCAAAAAATCCTTTATGGGTATTTCGCCACTGCACTGCAAGAAAATCTACAAAAATAGTTATTTTTTGTAAACACTTCTGGCGTTAAACCTAAACGCAGCTTGTCAGAAGTTATGTTTACAGTAATACAAATTTGCCTAACAAAGAAAAAAATGCTTAACGTTTTTTAACTTGATATAATGTCATTTTAACAGAACCTCAACGGTTTCTTGTAGACGTATCTGTTTTAAAAAAGTAAAGCGTTCTCGAATAGTTGAATTTAAATATTTTAAATAGTTTTATTTCTTGATTTTTTGTATTTTTTTGCTTCCGACGACGGAAAGAGATAACTTTCCGAAACATTAAGCATTTTTTCCTTTGTTAGGTAAATTTGTATTACTGTAAACATAACTTCTGACAAGCAGCGTCCATTTAGGTTTAACGAAAAAACGTGTTTACAAAAAACAACTATTTTATTTTGTAGATTTTCTTCTAGTGCAGTGGCGAAATACCCATAAAGGATTTTTTGGAGAAAGTAAATTACTTTGGGACTATATTTCCAACGGATCTAGTATAAAAGTAATGAAATTGTCATTATTAAACTTTTATATCACTGTAAAAAATACCAGATGAGGTTTAATTTTATACAGGGCGGTCAGAATTGTATTCGGAAAACTTCGGCAGCATGTTCTGCAGATAAAAATAAGTAAAAAAGTTCGCATAAATTTATCTATATCCTAGTTTCGGAGATACAGGGTATATAAATTTCATTTTTATTTCGATTTTTTCGAAATAATTTCTGAATTGACGTCGATATTTGGATGAAAATTGGTGTTTTTGACTTGATTTCAATGTCAATATGAGCCACCTGCATGCTTTTTAACTGTTTTAAAACGGTAGACCTGATGATAAGCAAGGACTCAAAGACAGTCAAAGCTGTAGTAGGTCTACCAACAGGGCATTGTAAGCTAAATAGGCATCTAAAGCTGATGGGACTGACAGACGAAGCTATGTATATGTAGGTTCTGCCAATCTGAAAAAGAAACGACAGAACACATTTTATGTCGGTGCAACAGCCTGGCAAATGTGCGGTTCCCGGTAATAGGCAATGATAGGCCATTGCCAGGGAGCTACATAGAGGGTTCAGTCTCCAAGTTGCTAAACTTTGTGAAAGGGATAGGACTGGAGAATGTAATCTAAAGATCAGAAGAGGACCACAATAGATCTGAGAAGGTTGCAGTGGATCAGGCTGAAAGCCACCTCTAAAATTCTGTTTTGAAGAGTAATAACTTTTCGTCCATACCTGTATTAAACTACCGAGTGAAAAAATATACATTTCCGCCGTTTTTTACGCAAAGAAGGTTTTTTGGTTAGCTACGATCAACCGTTCTCAAGATATTTAGAAGAATGGAAATTATCAAAACACTTCATCACTGATAAGAAATAAACTTTTTACTGAAATGATAAATTTGGAAACATAAAAATTAATCCCAATTTTTTCTAGAAAAAATAATGATAAAACAGTTTTTGTTGAACCTTTGGCACAAAAACATTTTCAAATTTATTATTTAAGTCTATACCATAGATTTAGGAAGAACAGATATCACATTATGCATTTTAACCCGATCAAACATTCGGAGGTTGACTACGTACTGTAAAAACCAACTGAGATAGACAAGGCGACATTGCCACATATCAAATTTGCGCCTATCTACTTAGTTTGATTTGCAGAAAAGGTTACTTTAAAACCTTCACCGTATATCAATAAATCTCCATTTCTTAATTAAATTAATAGCTTATTTTTAAAGAAGCATGCGTAATAATATGTTATTAACCAGAGGATATATGCGTTACTATTAAAGGACATGTTTACTGTTTAATGTGCTGAAACGTCTAGAACTATTGGCAACGTCGCTGCTAGTCTTCCAGAATGAAATGAGCCGTCCGTCCCACCACCCCTCGCGACGGCCCATGGTCCGTTATAGCGTACTACGTTTAGCTTATGGTGTGTTTGAAGTCGGAATCAAGTCCAAAGTGAACTTTTCAGTGTTTTTCAGTAGTTTTTGTTTTTGTTTAATGTACTTTTGAATCTGCGAATTTTCAATATGGTACGACAGTGTCAAATGTGTGGACAAATAAGCTCAAATTACCCGAATTTGGCTTTCCACAGGTAGGTATTGTTTCCGCCGCGCCGTAATCGTACATAGGCGTCCCACAAGGCAGCCTTTCACAATTAAAATAATTTCTAATTATATTTGTTGAATTTTGACCTACTAAAACAAGAACGTAGTAGCCGGTAATTGAATTATAATTTGTCTCAATTACTACCTAACTGTTGTAGATCATAACAAATTTAAATATAAACGTTACATTTGAAACTTTATTATAAGCCAGAAAGTGACATTTTTTTCTTAAAATTGCATCCTATTTTGGTCATTATATACGTTATTCTAAAGGAATTTTGCTCAATAAATAAACATAGGTGTTTACCCGTTCTTTTTTACATTTTATTGCTTTATTATATTTATATTATTGCCCCTTCGGCTTTGTTTAGACAATTTTTTACCACCGTACAAATACATCTTCCTAAAGTTATTTGTACGGTGTGTTTAACTTTTTTTAGAATGGGACGAACTGTAAATAATTCTTAGGCTACTAGTTTTATACATATCTATATAGAGAGTGACCCAGGCCTCCAAAAAAGCTTTTTACCTATTACGTTTTTGGTTTGTGATTTTTATTTCAATTTTTTACATAAGATGGGGGCCATTGTAACGCACATTTTCAAAATATTTTTGTCAATATACAGGGTGATTCAAACCGCAATACAAATGCTTAATACAGTTCATGAAGATTAGGACATTTAACTAAAATTTGATTATCTGATGAAGCTACCTTTAAAAGTAATGGATTTGTAAATAAACGCAATAGGTATTCATTATTATGCAGAAATCCCATACTGTAGCACACAGATTTTATACTTTTAATGATAAATGCCTTCTATTGCGAGACTAAAAGGCAATTGCCTCGTATCAGAGCCATCATAATACAAGAAGAAGACCGAAAGTCAAATCTTGTCTTATATTTTCAAAAAAAACACAATTTTCTCGTTAAATATTGATTTTAGGTATAGAAAGTTATTAATAAAACAAGATTAAAAAACTATTGCACAGTACTTCACAGGAAGCTATCGATTGCGAACTAACTAAATCGTTACTAATTAAGTACTAATTTTGAAAAGTTCTTTTTAAGATAAAAAAAGGTAAAGCTAAAACCTGAACTATCATTTGAGATTAAACGGGAAGTTCTAATTAATGTTGCCTATTCTAAACAAGAAAAATTTATTTATAAGTTAAGTTTTATAACATTCCTAATTAAATTTGGGCGAAAAGAATATTTCTGTTTGCTGTAGGTAATTTTCTCAGGGAAAATACGTAAATAAAAATGACTTTTTAAGTCAAAAAAAGTCAAATGGACAAGTTATTCCAAAAAAGGACTGTCCTTTTCAAAAAATGACAAGTGGCAACCCTAGGTATTTCTGGAATGGAAATTTAATGGCAAATCTACAACTTTGGTTTGAAAATATGTTCCGACCACCTATGTTTACAAAAATGTCTAAAATGTGCCTAAATGCCTCCATATTCTGAAAAAAAAAATTGAAAGAAAAGTCACCAACCACAAACCTAATATAGAACTGTTTCGGAAGATTGAGTCACCCTGTAAATATTCAAAAGTAACTGAAAGTTTATATAGAAGTAACTGAAAGTTTAAATTGAAAATCAACGTTGGAGTGATTTTCGAAAACTACTAACGTTTCAACATTAGTATATGTGAGATATTAATTGTATTATTATATTAGACCTTATAACAAAACTCATCTGACGAAAAAGTATTAATGTAGTATATTAATATGGAGTAAAAATTTTACTAATTACTTTACTTTTACTTTACTAATTAAATTCGTTTCAAAAAACGATACGCCACTGGCCATTAGAACAATCCAAATGCGCCTAGTTGCCGGGGTTGGAAATTTTAGACTTCTCTGTCTCTTCTGTCCTTGTTTAACACATTGGAATGTTTGATACACTACCAACGAGTATTTATGAATGAGATGTTCGGTCTATCTTTATAATGTCTTTGATCTATACATATAATAACTATCTAGTCAACATTTTTAATTTTTGTCAATGATGACATGTATCGATTATTTCGATTCCAAATATCTTAAGAACCATTACTAACTTATTATCCTAAACAATATTAAACGAAAAAAGCAAATAATAAAAAGACAAAACGCAGTAATGTCTCTATTATATGGACGATAAATTTCAACTTTAATCACGATCGAAACTGTCGAGCAATACAATCTGATTCAATTGGCAGATCTCCAAGTGCAGATATGGTTAATCTTAAATGATTTCGTTTCTTTATACCGTTTTCATCGTCAGGCTCCATTAGCCATGCGTAACAAAGTCGACAGCCACTATTTAAGATGATTTTACAATTTTATTTCGGTTCATTGGATAAAGTACACTTAATAATAAAATATGGAGCGATCAATTGAAATAGTTCGTTATTCTGATTTTGCTCAATAGGTTGGCAATAAATTTAAGAAATTCTAATATTTATCAGCTGTTATCACTAGCGTCAAAACAAACGAAAAATTAAATAATATGATTAATTTTTTGACGATATTTAAATTCGTTTTTCATAATAATGTGATATTAAACAAAACGGGGTGAGAAATAAATGGATTTAATCTGAAGCTGTTTAACAAATAAGTGTTTTAAAAATATAGGTTAGGTTAAGTGCTTGTAATAAATTTTGATAGTAAAACGCATTTTAAGGCATCATAAACTATCACGATCACAAATATTTTTAGGGGTAGTATATTTCGACCCCAGAAACACAATTATGAGGTTTTTACGCGAAATTTATTTTTGCAAATTTGGAATTTTTTGAAAAAATGTTAGTTTTTAGTTAAAAAACAAAATTTCTTGATAATATGGCAACATAGGTAGTAGATTAAATTTACAAGAAAGAAAACCCAGAAAAGATCCAATTATAATAATTTAAACAATTTTTTTTGGAAATTTTCAAAGTAAAGTAATTCGGTTATTTTGGACTTATTTGAAAAACCGTAAAGAGAAAATATGTTTCTTTTATCAAGAACGACCAGCCCTAAAAATATTTGCACTTATTTAAGACTCACCCTGTATAAGAATGCAGTCTGTCGAAAAAAATAAAGTTGAAAAATAAAAAAATTGATGAAAATTATTTTGATATTAAAGTTCAAATTTATTTAAATATAAATAAGCTCGCATCCGTTTGGATAATAACTGACATTTTACAAAAAAAAATATTTCACAGTTTTCTCTTTCAGTAGTTACTAATTTTTCGATAACTGGAATGTAAAGATTTTCCCATATAATAAAATGCTGTATCAAATTAAATGAAGTATCTTAAATTACCAGAAAACCATAATTACTGAAGTGTAATTAACAAAAATATGTAAGAAATAAACATATAGTGTAGAGTTTCAATATTGCAGTGTCCTAGATTTAACTTTGAAAATATATTTAGTATCCAACAAGGGCATCAAATAATGAATAAACAGGCTTCTCTTATTACAGCAATACTTAAAAAAATACAAATAAGTATGTGTGTTATGGCAATTATATTATATTTCTGAAGAACTATCGCATAATAATACAAAATGAGATATTTAAAAAAGTTATACCATGGATACAGTAACTTTTATACACAGGGTGGTCCGAACTGTATTCCGGAAAATTTGGCAGCATATTCTGCAGATAAAAATAAGTAAAAAAGTTCGTATAAATGCATGTCCTAAAATGCTTGAGAAATTATTTGAAACAGATCGAAATAAAAATGAAACTTCTACACCCTGTATCTCCGAAACTAAGCATTTTAAGACATATATTTATAGGAACTTTTTTACTTATTTTTATCTGCACAATATGCTGCCGAAGTATCCGGAATACAGTTCGGACCACCCTGTATAAAGAATTTTTAAGATATTGAAAACATGCAATACATATAGAACTTTACAGATAAATAATATAAATATGCAATAAATAAAATGTTACCTATGTTTCTTGAAAAATATCACAAAATTAAAGCTAAATTCGGTGCTAAAAGAAAGTTAAAACACGAAGACACAAGTTTTAGCACAAATAGAAGACTTTGAGAGTGGAGTTATCGAAGTGAGATAAAGTTCTGTCCAGTTTTTTTGGAAAAGCCGAATGGAAACTGTGTTGGGAAAGGGTGGAAAGCAGAGCGCGCACGTTGTCTGGATCGATTTCCAGAAATTGGGACAGTAAAGTTCGTTGTTGAAATCGCTGACACAATTGAATCAATGTGCTGTTATATGGCATCTAATAAATATGATATGTTGGGTAAGATTTTTTCAGAACCAGAAAAAATTAACTTAAGCTGAAAATATACTTCTTATTCTTTTTAGTTCATAGACGGTATTCCTAACAAAAAAGAGAAAAAATATTTTATTTGGTACTATGATATTTAACAAGATTTAACATTTTTTCAGCTTAAACGTTCCTTAAAAAACAAATTAAAATGTTCTTAAAAATTTAATAGATATTATCAAAAATGGCATAAAATGTTAAATGTCACAGTTGGTTGGTGTGACAGGGTGGTCCGAATTATACTCGGGAAAATTGGGCAGCGTATTCTACAGATAAAAATAAGTAAAAATTGGTCAAGTGCGAGTCGGACTAGCGCACGAAGGGTTCCGTACCATTCATTATCTATACAACCTTAGACACTATATTATTACAAACTTTTTTTCCCATTTAGCTGAAATTTTGAATGCGCGTATAAGTAATTTAAAAAAAAATGAAGAAACACATTACTAAAAATTGTATTAATCAATAATAAATATGTAAAAAGTAAAAATAAATATGAAAAAATTAAAAAAAAACGATTAAAAAAGTCGCCTTGACTAGGATTCGAACCTGCCTTACTACGGCTCCAACGTCATAGCAGCGTAAAGTCCTAACGCTTTAAACCACGCGGCCACCGATATAGTGAAAGTACTTTTTTATTTATAAACATTTATTTAATTCCGTTTTTAGTATTTGTTCTTATAGCGGCAACATAGATACATTATCTGTAAAAATTTCAACTGTCTAGCTATAACGGTTCATAAGATAGACCTATGTGACAGACGGACGGATAGCGAAGTCTTAGTAATAGGGTTCCCGTTTTTACCCTTTGGGTACGGAACCCTAAAAACTTTCGCATAAATTTATGTCCTAAAATGCTTCGTTTCGGAAATACAAGGTGTAGAAGTTTCACTTTTATTTCAATTTTTTCCAAATCATTTCTAAACTAACGTCAATATTTGCATCAAAATTGGCGTCTGGGGTGTTTTCTGATATGATAGATTTGACATCAATGTCAATAAGACTCTTACTTGTAGGGGGCACAACCTACATGTTTTCTAACTGTTTTGTAGATTAATAACTTTTCATCTGTACCTATATTAAACCACTGAGTGAAAAAATATACATTTTCACGGGTTTTTACATAAAAAAGTTCTCTTGGTCAAAATCGCTACGAGCAATCGTTCTAAATATATTTGTAATGGAAATTATGTCATCACTGACAAAAAATAAACATGTTGACTAGATAGTTATACTAAGGGCTGGCAAAGGTTAGTCTTGGGTCGAGATTTCCGTATGTAAGAAGAGTACAATGCGTTTATAATGTACTGAACAAAGAGAGGACAGTAAACACGTTGCCAAACATATGAAATAAACCGAGAAACTGTGCACATCGCTAAGAGACGTGGAAGAGGATATAGCAGATTTGTCGCAGTTGACCGGTCGACCCAATCAATACCTCTGTCAGTACTTAAAGTTCTAGGAAAAGGTGTACGTCATGCGTTCAGCTTCACGATTTAATTACGTCTCGTGATACATAATTTGTTCATTTATTAACGAATCGTTATAATTTTCCCTATAGCTTGAATTTTTTTAAGTGCAAGCTAGAAACACTTGCATTTTTGGTAAAAATAAGTGGAACTGAGTGGGTGTTCGATAGTGGTCGCGCTATTAGAACTCTGAATTCAAAAATCGATATCTCGAAATCTATTAGAAATAATACATTGTAGTTATTTCAAGATCTTTGTTAATATTTCTGCTGTATTTTCTTTGTAGACAGTATGTGAAAATCTTTATCAATAAAAAAATTACACGATTGCTGAAAATTGCTATGCTCTAAAACTAAATGGATGGATTGTTTACAATTTTTGAATAGAAAAAACAACCTTATCGAATTTTTCTTATGTAAACATATTGTAAAATATCCGATCTTGAAAATAAAAAAAAGTTTCAATATCTAAAGTGGTTCTTGAGTTATGGCCTGTTATGTGTTAAAAAGTTGAGTTTTTAAATTATCGCGATTATTGACATTTTCTCGTTATAAAAAAAATGACTCCCTAACGATATCCTTATAATTCCATTTCAGATGCTCGGAAACATGTCTAATGATTTTATCTAGTTATCTCTTGAAAAAAAAGTCTTTTAAAAATAAGCGGTTTGCGATCGTGATTTTACTTTACTTGATAGGGAAAGGCGTATCGGCAACGCCGCAACAGCACACCGTTGTGCGTCGCGTCGGTCGGTCGCATTTCTCTCACTCCGACTTAATAAGATCCCTATGCGATTTACTTCCACACATGTAAATGCCGACCCAAAAGTAACAGTTGCCAGCACGGTATGACTGAAATGATAAATTTGGAAATTAAAACTTACCTTTTTGCTCGAGTCGCTTTCCACAGATCGTCTGTAAGCACCGAATGGACGGTTTGCCATGTAACTATTGGCGCTGTACAACCCTGTATAGGGTTTGGGGAGACCAAACAACCTAGGGCTCTGTTGAGGCCCTGGCGACGGTGACGCACCAGGGGGGACGGGTTCATCAACAGGCACCTACAAAAATAAAAAAAATATCTGATTAAACTTCTCTTAAAAATATGTGAGTTAAGAGTATTGTTTGTTATTCAAGGTATTGGAATACATATTTATTGTAAAAATCAGAAATTTTAGTTGCATTTTAATAACAAAAACAACAAAAAACAAAATAAGAAAACTTACCTCACGTTCTACTGTTAGCCTGACGAATCTTTCCAATCCAGTGAGGAGATTGACAGCTTGCTGATGGGAAGCACCAGTGAGATCGACTCCATTAATAGAGATGACACGATCTCCTAGAGCTAACTTTCCATCTTTGTCGGCGACGCCTCCATCTGTTATTCTCGACACGAATATCGCATCGGAATCAGCCTGAAAACACGTTGAATCTATATATTAACAAGTATCTTTACAGATCATATTGAATTTGAAACATTAAATACAAAACAACTAAGGAAATCAAATAGTATTTATATTAGTAGTGGGAACTATCGAATGAATACTATCGAAACATTCGATAGTTGCAATTCATTCGAATAATTCGATAGTTAGTAAGAAAACATTCGTTGAAAACTATTCGAATAAAAATTATCGAATAGATCCGTCATCTGCCTTGAAATATTGTATTCTAGTAATTCGGCAGCAAAAACCATTCATTTATAAAATTCATTCATTTATAAAATTCATTCATTTATAAAAATTCATTCATTTATAAAATTCATTCATTTATAAAATTCATTCATTTATGAAATTCATTTATTCGTCAGGATCGATTATAATAAAATATTAACTGAATTTTAGTTGTCGCCCGGCGACGTAGGTTTTTTTCCGAGAAAGCGGTCGGTGGCAATGCTATGAAAGAAGCCGGCATCTTTGATTTTTTGCGGAGTCATATATAGATAAGGACACATTATTTTTTTTATTGAGGTGCTAGTATTTACACAGAAAATACATTATGAAGGGCGCTGTTGCCATATTTTTGTATTAGTTGATATTAGCAAAGAATATTATTGTTTGGCTTTAGTTAGTTAGGGATAGTATGTTCTATATTAGGGATACTAAGTTCTGCATTTTTTTATTAATATTCTGTTGCTACACTGCAATAATACTTGTTATTTTGGATGTAGGAAAATTATTTTTAATGTTTTTAAGCAAAGACTGGTTTAATAAATAATAATAACAGTAATAATTTGTTATACCTATTAACAACAAAATTTAAAATCATTTAATATAAATATTTTTTTTTTAAGTAGTAGCAAAATATAAACAACAAATTAGATGTCAAAATTATTCATATTAGATCCTATTTAAAAAATAATATAGTCTCTAATTTTTTGGCAACGTTGGTTTATTAAATAATAATAATTACAGAACTAATTTGTTATATTAACAACAAATTTTAAAATCATGAAATATAAACATTTATTAATTTTCTAAGCATGCAGTGTAATGGAAGGAAAATATAAATAAAAAATTAGAAATCAAAATTATTTATATTAGGTGCTTTATATTACTATTTAAAAATTATATTTACTTTTACTGGCATTTACTTTAAAAAATAAATGAAATATTTTTTCTTCGCAAAAAACTACATGTAAGAGAATTAGCATAAACAAAATATAAACATCGTTAACTTTTTTTTTTGAATTGGCACGTGTAAAACTTTCATTTTAATTTTCTTACCCCATAGTTTGAGTTCGATAACCATTTACTTAAATATGATTATACAACCACATTATTTAAATATGATTATTAAGTTCAACTAATTCATATTATTAAAACATCTAAAATACAAATATGTATTTTTAAAATTAATTGTAAGTTCATCTCATCTCTCTTAAAAATTGCTACTTCTCAAAATTTCCCATTAAAAAATAGACCATATACCATATAAAATGAAATAATTGAAAGATCGGACTACGGAAAACCACACAAATTATCGGAAAAATTTTGACCACCTGCACATGCACACAATCGTCAATAAATAAAATTAAAAAATAACTACTATTTTAGTATTTTAACTATTTTAATAAACGCAAAAATAGCACAGTATTTATACGGCGAAGTTATAAAAATTTGAAGAACCAATAATGCACTGACGCATACAAAATCCAAACGAATACTAAATTTCATTTATCAAAAGCATTCGATAGTCGTGGCTCAACGATAACCATTTAGTCGCACTGCGAGGTTGTCACATATGCTTTAGTTTACAAATGAATGAATGATTTTATTCGAATAAAACCATTCGATAGTTGAAATCATTCATTCATTAACCATTCGATAGTCTAATTCATTCGATAGTTCCCATCGCTAATTTATATATTTTAACTCTCTTTTTGACAATCTAGATTTTTCTGCTTTATTTTTACTAGTGGGGGGATAGCTCGAGCGAAAATTCGCTCGAGTATTCGGTTATTGAAATAACCGACACGCTCGATTATGAACGAGCGATGCAAGTGACGAGTACCAAGCGACGAACGCAAGCGATCCTAGAATGAAACAAATTAAAATCCGATTTTAATGTGACATACTCGATAAAAAGCGGAGCAAATTTTCTACATACATTGTAGGTAGCAAATTTATACGACGCCGTATATACAGGGTGTTTCAAAACAAATTCGAAAAACTTCAGGGGGTGATTCCTTGTTCAAAAAAAGGGTAGTTTGCTTCATAAACGTTGGGTCAAAAATCAACCATTAGGGAGATATCGCGGTACAAAGATGGCGGAAAAATAATGTTTTTATTTTTTATCTTGAAAACGAAAAGAGATAGACTAATGAAATTTTATGGAAGCATTACTGTTATGAAAACACACTTTCTGGTATTTTTTTCACTTTTTTAAAATGAGTGGCAGGGGTTGAAATAAGCTACCCCTAGAATTTTATTTTTTTTATAGAAAAAAAACTACCCCTATCATTCTTGTTAACGAAATTTAAAGAAAAATCTTATCAAACACATGCAAAAAAATTAATTTGGATAGTCTGGTTTGTTTAGAAACTTTTTTATCTCTTGTAGAAACTTTTTTATCTCTTGTATTTTTTTGATAAAACTCACCGATTTGAAACTAAAAAATAAAATGTAAAGCATTACATGTCAGGACAAAACACATTTTTAGACAAAGAATCTAGTGGGATGCTGTAATTTTTTAGGAAAAAATCTAGTTGGCCGCTGTCACTTTTTAGGATGTTTCTAATATTATTTTATTTTACATTACTCTACTGCAATACGTTATTATCTAGTTTTTTTTTAAAGCGCAGCATGGCTGGTTATAATGTAGGAATTCGGATCTTTGCCAAGAATTCTTACAATGTTCATCCTAGGAATGACCGCACAATGTTACATGTGTTAAGAATAACAGCTTTCTGCATATCAATGTAAGTAAGTTATCTAGTTATCTAGATTATTATTATTATCGTTATTATCACTAGATTCTTTATCTAAAAATGTTTTTTGTCCTGTCATGGTAATGCTTTACATTTTATTTTTTAATTTCAAATCGGTGAGTTTTATCCAAAAAATAGAAGAGATAAAAAAGTTTCTAAACAAACTAAACTATCCAAATTAATTTTTTTGCATGTGTTTGATACGATTTTTCTTCAAATTTCATTAACAAGAATGATAGGGGTAGTTATTATGGTAGTAACACCTTCCACTCATTTTAAAAAAGTGAGAAAATTACCAGAAAGTGTGTTTTCATAACAGTAATGCTTCCATAAAATTTCATTAGTCTATCGCTTTTCGTTTTCAAGATAAAAAATTAAAACATTATTTTTCCGCCATCTTTGTACCGCGATATCTCCCTAATGGTTGACTTTTGACCCAACGTTTATAAACAAACTACCCTTTATTTTGAACAAGGAATCGCCTCCTGAAGTTTTTGGCATTTGTTTTGAAACACCCTGTCTATTTGTATTTTTATTTTTCCGTTGCGTATCTGAGGGACAAAATTTTTCGATCTACATCGACAATGCTTTGAAATAAACTAAATCAAGCGATCAAGCGAATCGCTCGCCGCTTGCTGCTTGCCATTCATCACTGCGCACGCAACTTACAGTTTGGCGTTAACGAGTACTTACAATAAGCGACGGGTGAAAACCCGTATTTTTAAATACGAGTGATATTTCGCTCGAGCGATCGCTCGGTTATTGCAATCGCTTGAAACTCGAGTACTCGGTTTTTCCCATCACTAATTTTTACTAGCTTGTGTACTGAAGAATAATAGAGGCAAAAAATGGGTTATTTTTTATAAATAAAGGAATTGTCATACCTTAAAGGGTTGGCTTCCTTTACCACCAGCTATGCTGAACCCAAGTCCTCTGGAATCTCTAATTAAGGTTGTATGTACCAGGATCGTTTTGGTCTCCACTGAGTTCTCTACAGGAGGCAGTGGCGGAGGTGGAGTTATGTGATACGTCTCTGGTTTGTTATTACTGATCACTTCAGGCTTATTGCGAACCAGTCTAGTTACCTCCCGTAATACCTATTAAAAAAAAAATATATATATATATAACTACAAATTTCGTACGGGTAAGTAGAGCTAAAACCAAATATAGGAATTAAACCGAGAATTAAACATTATATACAGGGTGGTCCGAACTCTATTCCGGAAACTTCGAAGGCATATCCTGGAGATAAAAATAAGTAAAAAAGTTCGTATAGGTAGCTTACTAAAATGCCGTAAATATATGTCCTAAAATGCTTAGTTTCGGAGATACAGGGTGTAGAAATTTCAGTTTTATTTCGATTTTTTCCAAATAATTTCTGAAGTAACGTCAATATTTGGATGAAAATTGGTTTCTGGGAGTACTTTGACATGAGAAATTTGATTTTGATGTAAATATGACTCCTGTTTGTAGGGGGCGCCACCTAGATGTGTTTTAACTGTTTTGAAGAGTAATAAGTTTTCATCGATACCTGTATAATACTACTGACTGAAAAAATATACATTTCCGTGACGTTTTATGTAAAAAATGTCTCTTGATAAAAATCGCTACGAGCAACCGTTCTCAAGATATTTAGAATAGAAATAGTCTCAATACATGTCATTATTGCTAAAAAATAAACACGTTGAGTAGATAGTTATTTGACTGAAATAATAAATTTGGGAAATTTTAATTTTTTTAAATTAATCATAAAATTTTCTGCGAAAAAATGATGATAAACTAGTTTCTGTTGAATTTTTGGTACAAAAACATTTCAAATTTATGATTTCAATCTAACAACTATTTAGTCAACATGTTTAATTTATGTCAATGATGACAGGTATTGATAATTTCGATACCAAATAACTCGAGAACCATTACTCGTAGCGATTTTTATGAAGAGACCTTTTTTACGTAAAAAACGTCGTAAATGTATATTTTTTACTCAGTAGTTTTATACAGGTACGGACAAAAAGTTATTACTTTTCAAACCAGTTAAAAAATGTGTAGGTAGCGCCCTCTACAAGTAGGAGTCATATAGACATCAAAATCAAATTTCTCATGTCACAAGACTCCCAGAGACCAATTTTCACTCAAATATTGACGTTACTTCAGAATATATTTGGAAAAAATCGAAATAAAAATGAAACTTCTACACCCTGTATCTCCGAAACTAAGCATTTTCGAACATACATGTATACGAAGTTTTTTACTTATTTTTTATTCTGTATTTTTGATGGGATACAATATTACCAATACAATCACTCACCTCCAACACTAGTGTTTGCCCTGAGGCTTTGAGTACCTCCACCGCATCGTAGTGCGACACCTCCGTTACGTCCACCCCGTTCACTTTGACCACCTTGTCCGCCACCTTGAGCCCGGCCAGGTCCGCCGGGCCGCCGTCCGTCACCCGCGATATGAAGATGCCCTCGTCGTCGCCCTTGAAGGGCGTCGAGCCCTTGCCGCCCGCTATGGACAAACCAAGACCGGCGTTCGAGCGCTCGATGCGGATCTCGTACTTTTCTTCGCGCAGCTCGACCGTGGGGTCGATGGTAGTAGCCGTCTGATCGCCAGCTGAAAGAAAACAAAGAATTTGCTTTAATTAAAATTGCAATAAAAAAATATTCTTTTAGTTGACGTTTCCCAACAGATGTCGCCACACACCTTGACAATATGATCGAAAAAAAGGCGTTAGCGATGCCTTGAAATAAAGATCACTGTCATTTTATATGTAAAATTATATGGAGGTCATTGACCGTCATTTCCTAGCCAACTAGACGCAATTTTTTTCGATTATACGGTATTTGAGTGCTATTTATGTGATTTGATAATTAAGAAATTGGGAGGGAGATTTATTTATATTTGTACGTTTTATACAGGGTGAGTTTTCTACGATGTTCTCTATGGGTACCTCGGAAACTACTGGAGATAGAGTTGGTTAAATGGGGAAAGAATTGCAGTTTTGTGGGATCATAAATATGCGCCTTTCAGATTTTTGAAAAAGTTCCTGGCTTACTAGATATTAAAAAATTGGGCTGTTTTAAAAATTGTCCCAATTCCATTATAATCTATTTTAGACAAAAAGTTTTCAGATAAAAGTTGTAGATAATAACATCTGTAATGAGGTTGTGTTCTCGGTTTTTTTCTAAAGCTTGTCATTTTTGACATATGACACAAACATATGTTTTTTTAAATGGAAACTACAGACTTCATAAAATCGCCATTTTTTAAGCTTTTCAGCGATATAAGCTATGATATTGTTACGAATTCCGTGGGTCCACTAATTTAAACTCACGATAAAATACTTAACGAATTTATTTTTTCTCTCACTCTGTACACACAACTTATACTATTTACAACACAATTTATGCAACTACTATTACTCTAACGATTCTGGCACCTTCGCCAATTAATTCACAATTTAAAACGCGGTATTATCAAACTTCAGACTGGTAAAACTGTCAAGCGCAGGCCTTTATATACCCTCTGGCGAGTGTTTCTGGAACGTTCTAAAGAATTCTGTAATATTCTTTTACTTTCTGGCGAATTCGCCAGGTTCCTCAATGCACGTTGCGGTTATGTAGCAGTAATGCAGTTATGCAACCAGTAATACAGTTTAGCGCTACATACACCTTGACAATATGTTTTTTTTTAAATTACTGACATGTCTTGAAAACCGTTCCCAAAAAAGTGTAAGTAACGTTCACCGGTCAACGTATCCTCTAAACTGTACAGCCAAGAAAAGTTAAACCAATAATACTACACGCTTTTCTTCATTTGAAAAATTCATTTCTACACTTTTTATTTTAATTTACAAAGTTTGGATGTGACAGTTTGACATTTCTGAGAGCAACGACGCGACGATTGAACTTGTTTCCATGGCTAACTAAGTGAAATTGTTTAAAAATTATAAGAGTTGGCTATAACTCAGTAATTTTTCGAAACAAAAAACATATAGCTTATATCGCTAAAAAGCTTAAAAATGGCGCTTTTTATGAAGTCATGGCCAACTATGGTTTCCATTTAAAAAAACATATGTTTATGTCATATGTCAAATATGACAGGCTCTAAAAAAACGGACAACACAATCTCATTAAGGATGTGATTATCTACAACTTTTATCTGAAAACTTTTTGTCTAAAATGGATTATAATGGAACAGCCGAAATTTTTTTTAAATATCTATTAAGTGACCCCACAAAACTGCAATTCTTTCCCCGTTTAACCAACTCCCAATCTCCAGTAGTTTCCGAGATACCCTAGAGAACATCGTAGGAAACTCACCCTGTATATCGAGCATCAACAGCTGAACTCGTTGACTTTGCCACTTAATGTTAGTTTAACAAACAAGAAAAATTACTGATTTTTGCTCTACTCGTCGCTTTTGCTCTACATATCATAAAATCTTTATTTTTTCATATCATTACATTATAACTTATTATATCATTTCATATTATTACATTATACGTCATTATTAGAATAGAATACACCAATTTGACTTAGCTCCTTAGTTGTTTCAGTAGCGTATCTGTAGTTTTGTAACTAAATAATTATATTAACTTATTTATTCTTATTCGAAATATATATTTTTTCATAATTATTGTAATAAGTTATAACATTTACTCACACACTCACACAGCATAAAACAAAACCAGCAAATTATTGAGTCTATCCTAATTTATATTGTAACACGTTTTAAATCAAATTAGAACGCTAATGATAAACCGGAAATCAAGTCAGCCATCTTAAAGACCCATAGTATTTTTATTCAAAGCAACTCACCGAAATGTTAATGAGCAAATTTAGCAATACAATTTGATGCATATTGTCTATCGGAAAAATTATTGGACTGTAAAAAACAAACTCGATAAATTATGTATTGTTCAAGGTTAAATTATCGCGATTATTGATCTTAATGTAACAATTGAACGGTTCAAAAAAGAATCTGTCTATCTAACCTTTAAACTGCATTTATCAAACGTCGTACTACCTACGCTACGTAGCTTTCTACCCGAGGACCAGTATTATAATAACTATTGAAATTATTTCATCTCGTTATAACAGTTAACGAAAAAGAAGATAAAACAATTTTCTCATCGCAATTTGCCGGCAAAACGATCAAAAAGCTTTGTACTGCAGGCGGTATTTTAGAAGAAACATGGTATAGGCACAATCTGTCCTAAAGCGCAGAAATAAAACATCAATCAAAAGGAAATTAACCGCAATTCTAGCGAGCAATTTTTCCATATGTTACGGTGTTCTGTTTTAATATCTTACTAACCGTAGTTAAAAGATACTTAGAGCTAAATTCCAATATCAGTTTTCTTCATACTTGTTTAACAAAGTGGAAAACAAACTTATATGTGGAATGCGATGGGGGATTAATATGGCTGAATTAAATTCCGGTTCATCAGTGTTATTCTAATTAAAATAGATAAGTTAAATAATTATTTAATAATAAAAATATCAGATAAAAACGAAAATGCAAGAAAAATATATAATTACAGCATAGAGAAATATAACATAAAAGAGTTGTCATTTCCATAGTCAAAAGTAGGCAACACGTTTAACGAGGATCGATTGTAGCGCACCCTTGAGCCCTAACTGAACTAATTGAAATATGACAGACGTTATCGGTAAAATAGGTATCTGCATTGCCTACCACAAAAAAGGCGGGCTGTTTAAATGTGAATATAAAATTTTATGTATTTTTAAAAATATTACGAAATTAAACTGCAAAAAATATAATGAAAGTTTATTTTTAAAAACGGAATATTTGAAAAGTATAAACTATTGTACACTTTTCAAATGCTTACAGTTAAATGCTAAATTAAATTTGATAATATAAAACATATATGCTGAATTAACTTCGAGGGGTAAACTCCTGATGAATTTCTGTACACTAATGCCAAAGTAATGCCAAATAATTTAGTACTAATACCAATAATGCAAATCTTGTACACCACCAAAATACACCAGCGGTTTACCCTTCGATTTACCTATAGTATTATAAAACGTATTTAACAACGCCACTAACAAAGCATATAAGATCGCAGGGTTTGCAATCTATGCTATTATAACAGATAAAGATTTAAATAAGACATCAAAAATTAATTCACCTTTAAGTTGAATTTATAAACTCAGCAGTCAGCAGTTGAAGTTCAGTTGAGGTAGCAAATGTTCAACACTATTAAATGAAGGCGCAAATTTATAGTCAGTTCGTTTTACGTTCACAGAGTTCAGAGATGGGCAATGTCTTTACATATCGAACTTGCTTTGCATGATACCCTTTCCTGGATCGTGTTCAAATCACATCATCGGCTGAACAAAATATTACATGATGATGGCAAAACACAGCACAAAATATAAAGTTCAAATCATAGAGAAATATAAGGTCTCTGGTTCCTCGGGAAATAAAACTTCGTCCATAATTTCTGTACGCACAAACACAAAACAAACAAAGTTTATGCTACACAAAATAATAACAAAATTCCAAAATTCAAAACAAAATTGTAAACAATTGCAAAATACAAATAATTTGCTGTCATGTCACTTGTCATTCTTGTAATGACACGTGACAGGTAGCAGGTGGCGACGCTTTGGAGCCCTAACTGAACTATGCAACATTATGGCCAAGTTAGACAACCTTTCAAACACTCTTTTATTTTAGTTACTTTATGAATTACAGTTAATTCATTTAATTCATGGTTGCCAATCATGGAGATATTCGGCGCCGAGCTGACTAACTGGAATTTAAATTTCGCGCTGGGGATTCAGGTGGTAGCTCTGCTGTAAAAAATGTCAAGTTGCCGCATTTATTTATTTATCTCCTGCCATTGTCATTCGTTTTGACACTTTAGATTTGTATTACGAGTTTTTAGTTTAAATAAATTATGTAGTGATACTTTAAGCTTAAAAATGTTTACTAGCAGACCTTGCAGTCGAACATTGTTCTTTTTAGAACCTCTTTTAGTGCGAAGTGTACAAGATAGCTTAATAGAAGTAAAAAACTCATCGCAAGTTTATTAGAATATTTTGAACGGAAAAACGGTAATAATGGCTCTTTATGTCTCTTAAGGTGAGTTTTGTTGATGTAAATAATAACTGTTTATATATTTATCATTAATTTATTTTTGTTTTAGCATTTTTACCAGAACATAAAATTGTTAACTGAGGAAGAATATAATATATAATAATAGCAAGAATATTCATATTATTCGAATGGCTTTACGATATAACCACGCGGTAAGCAATATAAACTACACAACCTGTACCATAGGTATTCATTAAGTGTACCTAAGAGATATGATAAGGTGAGTCACATGTTAAATAAATACATGGAGATTAATTGAATGACGAACTAGTCGCTGAGAAACATCAATAGATTTTTTTAAAACTATTCCATTCATTATTCTTCAATAAAACTAGCCTTATTTTTGTGATTTTAATTTCAAAAATAACAATCTTTTTGGATATAGACTTTTTACTTTACTTAGCAACTTTCATTCACTCATCAAAATCAAAGGCAACATAGAAGTATTTTTCATTTCTACATTTTCGTTTTACTAACTTGCT